GAAAATAAAAAGTTTTCAATAATCTTGTATTGCCTCTCTTATTATAAGTCCAATTCTAAGCAAAGTAAAGTTTTTCTTGATTTTTCTTCCCTTTATTTTAATTTTTTTTGTCTAGAGGGGAGAGAAGCGCCAAGAAACATGCTTATGCGTACGAAATATATGATTCATTAATAACATCCAATTGTTGGTTCGAAATTCTCCGATTGATGCAACTTTCATAGCTTGGCCTCAGAGGGAAAAGTCTAAGAACTTGCTCAAGATGATCAAAGATTATATCGACAATTTGCAAGCACGAGAAATGATAGCAAATTAGAGTTATATTAGGTGCAAATAATATAAAACTTAACATGACCATATTGCTTAGGTTTTGGTGACTTAGGGAAGATACTTTGATGAGCAGGCACACATCTCTGACTGTCATATTACTCTCATCAAGTATATCAATAAACTTAATTGAAGTAAATCGATTTTCTTCCTCAATCAAAATTTCGGACAAGTATGAAAGTTAGGTGGGTAAGGGGACCTTTAACCATAATTGAGAATATGATACGTTATTTTAGTCTCCACACGAAGAAATGCGAGCATGTAAAATTCGACTGCAGAGAGTTTGAGAGAAGAATAGAAAAATTTTATTCATGAGTAGGTAGCCAAAATTGGAGAAGGATAAAATGGATCATAATAACCAGAGAACTTTTAGAACTGAACAACTAGATATTCAAATATGTCAACATAAGAGAATGATATTGTTATTAACATTTGATCTCCTAGAATATGACCATAATCATAATGTCATGACTTCTATCATTCTCACTAGAGGAAGAGTAAGAGGATTCATGGCATAGAAAGTGATCATTTTCTTGTGATATTACCTACATTCTTGATAAAATTTGACATGACCAAAGTGGTTGATTCCCAATTGATGGGAAAAGAACCTAGTCGACCATGGATGTCGATGTTGGTCAATTGCATTTATTGTGGTCAATCCCTAGATGTAGAAATATATTAGTATTGTTCGTGAAAACTTACTGATTTCAATAAACAAAAGAAAAACCAACTCAAATGTTGTCTTTATCTAAATTCTATCCATTTAATATCAAACGTATGTTTTATAATTTATACCTATGAAAATACCTTTTTCCAATGAATTCTTCTTAAAAAAAACTTATTGAAGGGTAAGAATTATAAGACATTTTAAAATTTAAGATGAAAATTATAACATTTATCTAAATTTAAAGTGTAATTCAATAAAATAAAAAATTTAAAGTTAAAATTGATACACCTTACCGAATTCACAGTCAAAATTGATATACATTTTTCTTTCCCACAAATACTACCAAAAAAGCTACACCTATAATTTCAAGAAGCTCAAAATCTCAATCCATGAAACATAAGTTGCCACGTGGCAATTTATCAATGACAAAGAGAAACGACACGTAAGGAATTTTGGGTGACTTAGAGAGCTCCACGTAAGAGTAAGACAAAAGAAAATATCATTTTGAGAAGTCAAAATCCAGTGTCTATTCCTTTTCTTTTGCAAAAGATCTAATGTCCGTTTCACAAGTAAAGTAAGTAACCTTTCATTCTTTCGCCAAATAAAATCAAAATCTCTTTCATACTAAGAAAGAAAAATAAATTAACAATAAAAAGTAACCAACCCTTGTCACATCTCTCATTAATATTCATATTTAAATAGGATATTTTTAACTGGTAGCAAAAATATATTTACTATATTTATAAATATACCAATAACTTTTTTTATTTTAAATAGGGTAAAAGGTTCAACATAATATTTTTTATTATTTTGATTTTGTCCTTATTATTATTGGTATACTTCCTATTAAATATATAAGTTATATAACTAATATATCTTATATAAAGTATATCTCTAATATACTTGATTTTAGATATATCAATTATATAACTAATATACTTCATATATTAGGTATCTCATTGATAAATCATTCTTCAAGTTGAAATTGTTTATTCAAGTAACATTGTAGTTTTTTTTTTCTTTAATTGAGATATCAAGTATATCATTGATATATTTCATTGTATGTATATTCACCCAAAATATATAAGTGATATACTTCATTTTAGGTGTTGATGTCAATTCTTGGACAAGCGCCATGTATGCCTTCGTCTCCAAGCTCTTGGTTACCTGCACACAAAAATCTAGCAACGGTGTGGAACTCCGTCGAATTCACTCCAATGCTTATAAGTTAGAACTCAAGTTGGGAGTAGACGGATATGAAGCAAGTAAAGTAGAAGGGTAGTAATCTCGAGGGTGAGAGTTTTCTTGAGAGTGTGTGTCGAATTCTCAGGAGGAATTGTATAGGGAAAGTCGACTTTCCTTGATTAAGGTTGCTCTTTTCCTTTTATATGGAAAGAGAGTTCCCCTTTAGTGTGGGATGGACACCAGGGGTAGTATGTCGTGCCTGGGGTCGTGGAAACCACTGACATCCTTCTTCCCTCTATGTGTCGTGGATGAGGGGCGTGGCGGTACCCTAGAGGATCCTCTGAGGCATATCATGGTTTGGGTATGGGGTGTCAGCACCCTGCACGCTTGCAGTTCTTCGTACAAATCATCTAGGTGCACTTGGCCTCAAGGCCAGTGCGCTCGTCTTCTTCCTATCCTTTGTTTACTCAATCCACATGACTGAATGGGACTTACGACTGATGACATCTTGGTTTTTACCCGATAACATTAGGTATATCAACTTGAGGGTTATAATTGACTTTTCTATTATTTTGTTTGGGTTGGGCCAATATTTTTTACGATATTTGTAGGCTATTACTATTTTTTCAATTAACTATTAACTTTTTGCTATAGTTGCAAACAATCTTTTTAAATATTTGGATAAATGACTAGTTTGGTTCCTATGATTAAAGACTTAGCATCGATTTGATCCAATAATTTTAGAAGTTATTTAATCTCTTAATTTGGTTAAACATCACAGATCATTCTTAAACCATTTTTGTACCTACTTGAAAATCTACTAAGTTCAACAATTTTTTACTTAGCATCAATCGATCAAATAAAAAACACCAGCTTATTACAATATAGGCAATTCTTTAGCTTTGATCAAATGATAAATTGAATGTCTCCAAATCATAATGACCCAATTGAAATTGAAACCAATACCATAGGAATCAAATAAAACCTTTTAAAACCACACGAGCCAAATTGAAACTAAGTCCGGCTAATATAATAATATCACATACTTTAGTTTATAAAACAAAAAATTAAAATTTTATTTGTTTTTGAAAATTTAAACTTATTATAATTTACTTGGTAAACTTGAGATAAAATGTCTATAAAATAGATGTTGAGCTCTTCCTCTCTTGGGAAAGAGGTTTGGGAATTAATGACATTTTCAATAAAAGAAAGAGCCCAAGACAGAATACATCAACTGTGCATTGATGTAAAAAGAAACATTGTTTCTTTCATCCCACATAGGCCAAATAGAAATAATGAAAAGACTAAAGTTAAATGTCAACTATATTTTTCTTAATGGAAAATTGAGCTTTCATTTAGACGAACGAAATAAAAACTGAGAGGTTTACAAAAAGGACACGCTCCAATCAAGCAAGATCTGACCTAAGGAGTAATTACAAAAAAAAACTTTAGACACCTAGCTCAAAAAGAGACATGATATCTAACAAGATCTCAAACCTCCTCCCAAAAACTCACAATCCCTCAAAACTGGGGATGAAGAGGAGTCTCCTCCATCACATTCGAACACGCTCTAGGATGAGCCAAGCGAATGACACAGTCTAGAAATAGTAATCTCAAACTAAGGATGCACAGTGGCAGCTCCAAAGAAGATGATCGAAGCCCTCTACTGCTCGACAAAGAATACAACACTACAGTCCTATCAGAAAGGTCGGTCGAGTGTCTCAAAATCCAATCTGAAGTCTTAACTCGAGTAAAACCTGCCATGATAGAGATTGTTATCTTAGTTTCCAAAAATATGTTTTCCTTTTTCCTTTCTTCCATCTCTACTTAAAATAGGAATGTAAATTGAAAGTGAAAATTTGACCAAACCAATCAAATAACCAATTTGTTTATATTTCATATCTTCAAGGGGCAGTGGTGAAGGGTATCCCAAATTTGAAAACTTCAAAGGTATATGGAGAACATAATGGCTGTAGAATGTGTCTGATTTAGAACTATAATTCATCTGAGGAAGCTGAACTCAGTGGTTTCATTAAATCCCAAAGTAAATCAACTGGGAAAATAATACCTTCTGTTGATCTCTTCCCTAAGGAGGGTGGGAGAGAAGCGCCGAGAAACGCGCTTATACTCTGAAACATATGATCCACAGATAACACGCAAACGAGGCCGAAATTGCCCAACTGATACAAACTTCATATCTTGGCCTCACTTTGAACCTGACTCTACTGACAGTTTACACAGTATAGGAGATGATAAAAGTTACCAGGTGGATACAATATAAAATCTGCCCTGACCCTCGTTGCCTTGGTTCGGATGCCTCAGAGAACCGCATAAACCTTCGACGGTCATAATTGTCATCAACTATAACAACAAACTTAAATAAATCACCTTGATTTTCTTTCTCAATCGAAATGTCTATAGCAGGTTAGAACATTGTTGGATGCACACCCACAATTCTGCTATAGAACATTGTTGGATGCACCCACAATTCTGTCTGCCCATTCTTCCCTCGCACTCTCTTCTAAGTGAAATAGAGAAGAAAAAATTGTTAGACGAGTAAGGAGACCTAGGACTGCAATTGAGAAAACTAGACATTTGTTTAGCCCTTATGAAAGGAAATGCAGGCGGGGTGAAACTCGGTAGAGATTTTGAGAGCAGGATAAGAGTAGTCTTGACAGCAGAAATTGGAGAAAGATTGATGCATGTCAATGGATCATACAACAAGGCAACCTTTACAGAATTGAAGAACCAGAGATTCTAATCAGGATAAGACAATGATGCTGTTATTAACATCTAATCTACTAAAGACATGAGAATAAAGTCATTTCACAACCGCAGTCTGCAAATCAACTAATTTACTGGAAAAAATGAGCATTATTCTCAGTAGAGGAAAGCAAAGGGATCCATCGCATAGAAAGTGATCATTTTGTTGCAAAAAGACTCCAACTCCTATTACCTACAGTCTTGATAAAATTAGACAAGATCGAAGAGGACGATTCCCAGCTATTCAGGGAAAAGAACCCTGTCGACCATGGATGTCGGTGAGCTGCATTTCTTGCAGTCAATCCCTGGACATAGAATTGTATTAGTATTGAAGCATAACTTTTAACAGAATTCCTTTGGACATAAACAAGTTACCACGTGAAGAAATGGCACATTACAAGGAGGCATTCCTAAGGCTCAGAATTTACAGATTTATTAGCAAAACTATGCTCCGAAGTATTGGATCAAATCTTCATCAACCAAAAAGTCATCGAATGAGCTTGCACCATCGATTCCAAGATGGAATGGACTGTTAAATGCTCCATAATCTAGCGATAGACTGTTGATTGGTGATCCAAACTGTGCATCGACGGGCCTATCTTGCTCGGTGTTGAACGTTTCTTTTACGTAGTTGAAATCTGCTCCTGTGGTCTCATCATTTCTATTCTGTATTGACACTGGTACTCCTTCCTCCAATCTCAACTGAGGCTCGCTAACAAATTGAGGATGCTGAACATCATAATTGGATCTATATTCCACGGATGGGTTATAAATATTGTAGGCACTTTCATGTTGCATCTCAGCATTTTGTATAACAGGGTATAACAAAGGCCTTCCACCAACATACATGCTCTGAGTGGACATTAAGTTGACGTTATCGGAGGGCGTGGCGGAGAACACGTCGAACTGAGGAGCTGGCACTTCTGATTGGACATCCAAATCCTTCTCCAGTGGGCTCAAAGCTGTGACAGTGTCATTTTGCTGTTGGTTTACTGGAATTTCAAATCTATCTAATGGTACATCAGAATGGTTTATATCTAGATGAGTATTTCTTGGTTCCACGCACGGTTGTTCATTCCGAGATGAAGCAAGTGCTTGATCGGCATGTTTTAACCTGCCACCACGATGTCTTTTTCCCCTATGTTTTTCACCTTGCTCCTTTACTTGAACAGGTTGACGAGCATTACTGCGTAGATTACTGGATGGCTCGGCATCCACCGATTGATTTCTCCTGTCCACTTTAGAAGAAACTGACCCGACACCATCATCGGCAAGATCAACATCATAGTCACTGTCACTGCTTACTGCAGCTTTCTTTTCACCACGGCCACCTACTGGCGTCTCTGTTATTCCAGATGCCCCATTATCACTGCTCGGTTGTCGAATTAGAGATTCCTCTCGGCTTAAAACTCCCAACCAAATTGCACTCTCCTTTGCTGTCATCTTATCTTGTAAGCACTTCGACTGGCGTACATGCCTCCTTATCTTTGTTATATTAGGCGACATATGTTTAATCACGGCTGTTAAAACCCCAACTTTCCACATCTTCTTCAAATCATGCGGCTTCTTATAAGGAGGACTATGGCCATGGGATAGCCCAAGTTTTACCCACCAATCTTCGTTTCCAGAGGGCCACCATGGTGGAGGAACCCCTTTTTCTAAAGGATACTTCCGTTGAGGGGGATCACAATGTTGCATCAAAGATGACAAAAGAGATCCGAGAGTCGCATCCTGCAGGTCTTGAAGAACACTCTGGGAGTTTCCGCTTCCATTTCCATCTGCCTCTCCCTTGGCAAGACATTCTGCATCATACTTGGCTATGGCAGCCGGTCCATTCTTATCGAATTTAACCTTTTCTTTCCACCAAGCTCGAATGTTATCAGAAGCCCCGCTAACTGGTTTACCCTTTTCAGGTATAATGCCATATACAAATCCCCGAGCTTTGCATACTTCCATCAGTTTCAGCATATACTTGAGAATCCCATCTTGAGCTCTAGACATCTTCTTCCTCCGAGCCTGATCCGATGTCTGCTTCGGTTTCTGCTTCTCAGCAGCCTGTTGTGCAGCAAGCTTCTGCCTTTCCTTAATCCTTTTAAGCTTGATCCGGTCCTTCCACATACGCTTCTCCAGATCCTCTGCTTCGATTTCTTCATCACTAACATCTTTCTCCACCATATTATCACACCTTATATCATCAACTTCCATATCCGAACTATCTCCCAAACCGTCATCAGCCATCATGAAGTTCTCCATTAACGATGACAATCTCTGATAAGCCTAATAGTAAAAGATGATAAAGAGAGAGCAAAATGAATTTAGAGTCTAATTGGCTATGTTGATTCCATAAGCACCATCCTCGACGAAGTGAAAATTACGATATTAAACTGAGTTTTCGTTCATTTCGAAACAACAAAATTTCAGATTACACTCTTTTCAATTTTCTCATCTCTTCACACCAGTCAAACAAGAACTGAAAAAAGAAATTGGCAAAATCAAGTATCATCATCGATCAGAATAGCCCTTTCCTCTTATCATTTCCAACACGCCAAAATAGCCCAAAAACCTAAAAAATTCAAACCTTCAAGAACTCCCTTCAGATGCCATGATTTCATAGTAGCTGAATCCAATATTCAAACCCCACCGTAGAGAGAAACAAAACCCCCCAAATAGAAATTTCTCAAATCCCAGCAATCAGCAGATTAAAATCTCTATGAAATTACAGCCAAATCAACACGACCCAGATAAAAATCTCAACAAATTCTCCAAGTATTCGGGAAAAAAGAAAGAAAGAAAGAAAGAAAAGAAGTTCGCCCCACCGACCAAATTGAATCACAGGGCAGATGGGAAAGTTAAAATTCTTACCAGAAATCGAGTCCAATCGCGAAACCTATGGGTGAAGAGGCATAGAAATCGAAACTCGAGAGAGGGAAAATGGGATTATCCAAAACAATGGGGCGGCGCTCATAAGCCCTTCAGAAAAGAGTGAATGAAGATGGACTATGAGGTGAAAAAGGAGGGAGGAAAAGGCTTAGAATCACAGAAAATCCGATGCAAATGAAGAAGAGAGAGGCAGTGGAAGAATCAAAAAGGGGTTTTACAACAAAAACAAATCAATTGAACAAATAAATCACAGAGAGGAGAGAGAGAGATGCTACGCAGCCAGAGAGGCGGAGAGGGAAAGAACGGTCAAGGACCTGAGCCCAAGTTACGCTGTTAAATTTCCATTTTGACCTTTCCAATTTTCTTTTAATTTTAACTTCAATTCATTTTAATATAAGTTTAGTTTGATTGATGTATTTTCAACTTTAATTCGATTTAGTGATTGTATTTTGTTATCAAAGTGAGCATAATTATGAGTTAATTGACATATATATCCAACAAAGAAGTTGTGAATTCGATCCCCACCACAATGTATTGTACTAAAATAATTTGTATTTGGTTCCTGTATTCTTGAAAGTTAACTAATTCAGTCTTTAATTACAATATTTAACATAGATTTTATACATAATAGAAAGTTTTTAATATAAAATTGTTTACAGTTCGTGCAAGGAAATGTTCCTCCAAACAATCAGGTTTATCTCTTCCATGAGTTTGATGACCTGTAAGACAAAGGTGAGTACTTCGATGCTGAAGCCAATCTTGATCGGTGAATTTGTGTATTATATTTAGAAGGCATTCAAACATACCTTGGTAATAGATTACCAAGTTTTATTACAAGTAAACGAAGGTAAATTGGATAGTAAGGAAGGTCGAGATTCTTGTTGGGTTTATAAAGGGGAATGCAAACAAAGTCCTACGTTAGCTAGTTAAGGGAATGATCTATAGTATCTAGACGAGCACAATTATCTCTATTCGTACGAAGCCTTTTGGATGAAACCAAAAGCACCAAATTCGATTGTGTCCACGCTGTTTAGTCAAGTAGATCAAAATATTACTTTTGAAAGTAAGAGACTAGGAATGAACAGAAATTAAAAATAAAGTAACTAAAATGGTTTTTTTTCTTTTTCTTTTTTGGTTATTTTTGATAGACACAAAGTTGTAAATATTAAGCATCCGAAAATAGTATTTTGATAAAATAATTATAGTATATATTGAATAATCATCTTTGAGGATTGAATTTAGTAATCTATTTATCCTTTGTTTGGAATGAAGACCGAATAAGAAACGATTTCAAATGGTGGGAAAAACTAGAAATGTTTTTTAAATTGTTGTGTTGTTTTTTAATGACAGTGATTGGAAATGGATTCGATTTAAAAATTTTGTTGGGCTGGTCTCTAGAAATAGAAAGAAAATATACATTTAAATAACATAACATAACAACATCCTAAATTGTGAGGAAAAAAAAAATCTGGTGAGTCAAATTAATAAATTGATTTTGAAACCCATTAAAATTCCATTGCGTTGATTGATAAGTTTCGCATCAGCATATCTCAATTAATTAAGTTATATATTTTTGATCGAGGTTGAATTCAAATTCCTCCCTACATAGTGAATTAAAAAAATGTGAAGTCATTTGTTTGGGGGTAAAAATACCTTAGACATGTGGATGACACTCATTAGAGTTCAAGGAGTGAAATAACCTAGGTCCACCTCGAACCTGCCGAGGAGACTACGTTCGCCCATCGACAATGCTAAGTGTAAAAAGCTCCAGTTCGACCTGGGCGGGTTTGATCTGCTCGGAACCCGACAGGTCCGACATGAGAAAAAACATATAACCTCGGGTCGTGAGTACTGTCAGATCCACCACCTATAAATAGAGGGCCTCATTTCACGCTCAGATRTTGAATCTCATCTTGAACTTAATATTGAGTCCGACCTACATTGACTTGAGCGTTGGAGAGTTTGGCCTCTTGTGTAGGTTCACTCTTGAGTTCAGGTCGAGTCAGAGACCGGGTTCGAGCTTGGTTCATAAAACAGGGTTGTGCAATCCTTTGCATAAACATCATTGCTTTCAAACCTTACATTTTTTTAAAAAAAATGTCTTATTTACTGCATGGTTAGATATTGATACGCATGGTGAATCAACATTTCTACAGTATTCCATAAAAAACTAAAAAAGTATAATTAAAAAATCACTAATATGAATATTAAAACTTGTAAATTATTAAAAAAGAATAAAAGGCTTATTTGTTAATTTAAATATTTGCTATGAATTTTTATTTTTATAAATTTTTCAAAAATATTCATCGATATTTCTATAAAATTGAGACACTGACATTTTCATTCATATCGATATTTGAAACCTGAGAAAGTATACATTCCAATTTTATTAACATATTAGTTTATTGCAAAAAAAAAAGTGTGGTTAGACACTAATATCTTCTCTTATAGATGAACGGTAGATTTCAATGACTTGTGTCTCATCTTAAATATTGGTGGTTCGATCCTACCTTATAATGATTGTATTAAAAAAATAATAATAATAAAATTTGCCCCTCTGCTTAATTTGTAATAAGATTCAAAATTTGGTTAGTAATTTAAAGATTATAGGATTCATTTGTATTTGAGAAACAAATATATTAACAATGCTATCTATTTCTCACACCTCTTTCAAAAACTTCCCAAAATTAAAATTAGAAATAGAAGTTATTGGAGCCTCGTTGGGTATTGTTCTCAACTTCTTGTTTTAATTAAGAAAAAATGAAAATATATTTGGTAATATTTTTAAATTCTTTTATTACAGAATAAATATGAATTTGATGGCTCGCATTATTGTTTCTATTCTTTAAAATTTTAAACTGGAAGATGAAAGTTTAAGTTGAAAAATAAAATTTTCAAAGTTATGACCCCATTTTTAAATTTTAAGATATTTACTATGCATTTTATAAGTAGCCAATAATAAATTTAAAAATATAAAACAACAAACAAAGAAACCATTTTTCCATTAAAAAATGTTTAATTTTGTTTAGGGTGGATTATGATCTAGCTCAAGAACTAGAGAAGATCGGATATCTAGGAGGTCATTTACCACCTGCCACGTGTCGACGAGAAAAGGTCCTCACATAAATGTTGATTATTAATATTAACAAGTCCTTTCGAGTCAGCGCATATTTGTTGAGCCAACCTCTTGGATACTTTATTCAGTCGATCCCCTGGATGTCCGAGTCGACCTAAAAGCAGATATCCACAGGGATATTGGCGACACCATTCTCCGACAACACGCCGCGTTTCACGGACAGTCGGGTGCCCGTTATGCTATTGTCGAAAGCCCTGTTAGAGATTATCCCTATAAATAGGGAGGTCTGTCCCTTATACAAGGTACGTGAATCCATTCGCATCTTGAGTATTAGATCGGACTGTGATTGACTTGCTCATCGGAGTGCTAACCTTGTTTTGCAGGTTCTTCGGAGGAACAAGGTAGATCGTCTCGCGAGTGCCGATCTCAAGGGATTCCTAGCTTAACCATTTTTGGATCAAACAGGCCTGCAAAAATGAAGCAAATACTCTGTCGTTCAAGTTAGTAAGGGACCGATTTAAGGTCTCAAGTCGGAGTTCAGATAGTGTACCTAATGCCACAATATTGCTTCTTTATAGGGAGTCAGGTGATAGCGACCTCCAATCATTTTGTTATGCTGTTGAAAAATCAGCTGTACAACTTTAGACTATCAGGTCCTTCAGGTCGAAGCATATTTTTTTACCAAGTAGGGTTTGACCATACTTTTAGGTCACTTAGGTCGAGCTTTAAAGGTCGGTCACGTTATCTTCGAGCTTATGAGAAAAGATTTTCATATCAATCTTTCCTAACTCTCCACGTGGCTAGTATACTTTTACCCTCCAACATATTTCATGGTATTTATCTTTTAGAGGATACAATTTTTTTTTTGGATAAATTGTTTTCAATTAATTTTTTTAACTGTTAAAATAATGAAATAGTTTACCTTCTTTTTGAAATTTTAATTTTAGATTAGCTTCAAGATAAAAGCTTTATCATTCCAAAGGTTTGATTTAAGACAATATTATATAACATAGAATTAAAATAATAATACTAGATAAGACTTTTTATTGTTCATGTTTTTATCACAAAATTAGTCAAGGTCAAACCTGGTATGCCACTTTGAGAGAGTTTAAGTGTTCATGGCAAGGAAAAAGACATGCACAAAAAGAGACAAACATTCTTACGCTTAAATGAGTTTAAGTTCCACTTTAGTGTAAAGACCAAACTAGAATACGATATCTGATGTGGAAGTGAAGCCCTCTATTTATAGGATGGGGATTCAACGGGTGGTTATTGACGTCGTCTCGAAGATCGGGTTGTCGAGTACCTGTGGTCGGACCTTGGGTCATATCTTCGCTACAGAAGGTGTCTATGTTTGGTGTTTGCGACTAAGTATAGAAGGTCAATCCTTTTCGAGATAGTCTTTAGGTTAGACTTTATCTTTCGATCTTCCTCTATTCTCTACATATGGTAAGGCTATTTTCTGCCCGACTGTTTATATAAATAATAAAGTAATTATTTGTTAATTTTATATATAAGAAAAATTAACATTACAAATGCAGAGAGAAAATACAAACTTGTAACGTACAAATTAATTTTGATTTAATTTTATTTGGTTGGAAAAAGTAATATCAATTTTGTTTATTTTCTTACCAATTCAAACACAATCACGTAGATAAGTCTCATCCTTGGTTTATATCCTCACTCACATACTTTACATCCTTCCACGTCATCCAATTTACAAATTAAGTAAGTTTAGTTTTGGAGTTCTTTTACTTGCTCCGGAAATAAAAATGCACTTTATTACGTAACTTGCCGATAAATGATATTTATTTTTTCTTTTGAGATCAGAGATTCAAATTTCCATACCCTATATTTATTGTGCTAAAAATGGTAATCTTCGATGTAGACTGCTTAAACTTGTGAGTGCACGACGGTCTACCAAAATGAATTACAAAAATTATTTAACTCTAGGAATTAATTATGGACACAAAACAATACGTACCCATGGTACTATTTTTATTAATTTTGAAATTTATAATGTTTTATCTCTTCGTTGACCATCCCAACTTGATTCCTTAAGTGGTAATTAAGATATTTGTAACCTTCTTAAAAAGTTGAATATTCAAATTCCACCCACATCTGTAACGTCATGTACTCTCAAAGGAAAAAGAAAAAAAAACTATATAGTAACCATTGTACTTAATTAATTAGGGAAGATGGACAAAATAAG